AGACTAATAGTACACAATGAAGAGTCCAGATACAGACCCACACACATATGGCCATCTGACTTACAACAAAGGCTGCACAGCAATCTTGTGGGGAAAGGATGGTCATTTCAATAAATGGTGCTGGGTCAACTGGACATTCAAGTGGAAAAATCTGAACTTGATCTCCACTCCATATACAAATATCAATTCAAAATGCATCAGTAACATAAATGTGAGAGCTAAAGCAATCAAGCTTCCATAAGAAAACATACAAAAATATCTTCACGTCTTTGGCACAAATACTTCTTAAACAGTAAATTAATAGCCCTGCCCATCAAAAAAATTATTGACAGACTGAGCTTGACTAAAATTCAGAACTTCTATTCATCAAAAGACACCTCTAAGAGAGTAAAAAAGCACGCCACATAATAGGAGATACTAAAAATATATCTAACAATGAACTCATAACCAAAATATCATCCAAATCAATATGACTAACACATAACTCCATTTTTTCAAATAAGTGAGCAACCTACACAAGTATGCTCAGATGATTTCTCACAAAGATGGAAAAGAAATTCAGTGGAAGAAGGATATCACATGACCCTGCGATTTCACTTGAAGATGTCTACCCTGAGTACTCACGAGGAGACACACACAAAAATGTTGCAGCAGCATTACTTGTAATAAAAGAAGCAATAACATAACAGTAGGGGGATAAAGAAATCAATCTTACTTAATTCCTATCATCAAATACTATAAGGGGTTAAAATACATGAACTAGAACCACATTTATCAACATTGATTAATCTAAAACACAATGCTGCATTTAAAACCATTTTAAAATGCATACGTGGTATCATTTACAAGTTACACACTTAAACACCCCCAAACACTTCTATATATTGCTTAAAGATTCAAATGTACATACAGTATAGAATACAAAACACAAACACCACCTTCAGGAGTGGTGCTCTCTAGGTGAGGGTGGCACATCTAGGTGGGAGATAAGGGAATTTAGGTTATCTGTGTAATGCTTTATTTCTAAAACACACACACACACACACATACACACACACACACGGCCCTGAAACACATAAAATGTTAACAACTGTTTGATTGTGGTAATGGGAATGTAAATGTCGGTTATATAACTTCCTGTTTTCTTCTGTATGCTTTCAATGTTTCACAATTAAAATAGTAAAAACAAACCTGCAAAAACCTAGAACTTCCATAATCAGATTTTCCATTTACGATTATGAGGTTTTCGTTGTTA